ACATGGGAGACTGACAAGGGGTCCCTGCAAAGACAGCTCTAAGGGAGGTGTGGTTGTGAAGGGGGTGTCACTGAGCTCTTTGTAGTAGAAGGAAGCTGAAGAAGCCAGGCTATGTGGAAACCTGCCTGCAGGTGAGCAGTTGGCATAAAGCCCTAAACCAAGGACTCCAGGTTCCCTCCCCAGCAGCCTCCAGGCAAAGGAGAAGAAGGGCCTTTCAGGAGGAGAGAAGGACTGGTAAAGTAAAGTGAGCTCACCCCATCCAATACTGGCCTCACAGGGGGATTTGGGTTTACAGTTATGATACACTGTTGTTCCCTTTTTGGGGAAGTATAGTGGGAGATGGTTTAGAAGAATTCCACTGGATAGTATCCATTTCTGGATAACAGCAGATCCAGTAATTATGGGGTAATTCCTGCACAGCATCTCCCAGGAGGTTAGGGGTACAGCTTTGGAACTCTTTCTTTTCTTTAAAACAGGCTTTACTCTCTGGCTGTGAACATGTCAATGACATCTGTTTGGTTTTTCTTTTTTCTGCGGTATAACCTGATCTGTCCTGAGACAAGGGGACTGGAAGAAAAAGGGCGACTGAGATGAAACTAGCAAAAGAGAGGGTGAGGCCTCCTACCTCTTACAGAAGACCAAGAACACAGATGATCAGAGGTGAGGGTGGGAAAGGGCAGATTCAGGCCCAGACTCAATAATGAACAGAAAAGTCCAAGTCTCAGCCACAACAGCAAGTATGAGGACCTGGGAAACCCTGCAGGTGCAGGGGCATGTGAGACCCCCATGGCACAGGGAAGATTCAGGGGCAAAGAAGGGAGGGCAGGGCCTCCAGGATGGGCATCTCTATCCACAGGCTGCCCTGTTTGTTTTTCTCAGAGTGACAGACTCTCCTGCAAGGGACAGGGTCAGAGGCAGAGGAAGTGAGAATTTTCAGGCAAGGTGAATTGTGCAGTCTCCTGATGATCGAAACAGAAAGCCCTGGATGCTCAGAGGTACTACAGCATGATGGGGCTGGCAGTCCCACGGTGGGCAGAGGCTGGCTGGGAAGGTCCTACTCTCCCTAGAACTACTGGTTAAAATCTTTTTCCTTAAAAGCTGCATCTTCCCAGTTATCGTCTTCTGTGTTCTGTGCAGGAAGAGGTCTAGCATGCAAACAGGAGGTTTTCCAGTAGAGCAACAAGTGGAAGAAGGTGGTAGTGGCGCATCAGGGAAAGAGAATCTTCTAGTGGTCTGTGAGTTACCTAGTGAATTGCACATGGTGTCCAGCCTTCTTTAGTTCCCTGCAGACGTGTACTTGCAAGAGATGTTTGAGGAGTAGCTTCGTTGACCCTTACAAATTCCTGTTGGTCATTTCCAGATATAGAGACCAGAAGAGGTCACTGACTCCAAGAACAAGCCAGAAATCCACTGGGTCTGACTGTTGAACAGTCTGTGTTGTGCTCTTCTTCCAGTGATTAAAATCGTTCTGTTTGTCATTAAAGATATTTTCCCCTGTTAAAAAAATCCAACACAAAGTTTTTAAAACATATATCTGTGATATTTATCAATTTTCAAAGCTCTAAAGTCTTTTTTATAACACCTCTAAGAATACAGATTTGTGTAATGAAAAAGTTACAATCAGAATTCCACCCTCATACGTAATTTGCTTCTGCTCCCCCAAGGTGTCCAATGTTAAAAGACACACGTGTATCCTTCCTTGTATTTTTCTGCTGGGACACACATACACAGTCACAGGTACACAAGTAGATCTCTTGGTTTGTTTGCTTTAATGGAAACTGGGTCATACTCTACCCACATTGGTCTGTAAAATGTTTGATTCCTTGTAGGTCATGACATATGGCACTAACACTACCTTTTTGGGTCTTCTAAGCTTTAACTCATATTTACACATAAAGTATTTAAATAGATGAGAACAATTACGGTACACGTTATCTAGACTCCTACATAACACTACTAAAATGGAAACACATATCATCCATGCTTTTTAAGTCCACTCTTCCTGCATGTTCTACCTCTCCTCCCCCAGTCCTTTCCCACAAGTGAATCCAAGGTAATTCACGTGAACAATATGGTAAGTAGTCTATCCTTGCTTGAACAAGCACACACAGACATACATGTATCCTCATCTGCTCATTTATACACACACATAAACCTAAACAGATATTCAGGCATATTCACACATTTGTTATTGTTTTACCCACATGTGCTTATTTTATATATACTTCTCTGCACCTTGATTTTCTCCTTCAACAATACTTTACAAAGATTTCTCTTACTCAACTACTAATTTTTCATTCTTATGACTCCCTAATATTATCGATGTAGCTTTACCATAAAGTATCTAACATTCCACCATCAACCGGCAGTCAAATTTTTGCCATTACTAATGACAACCATCCTTTGTATTCTACAGGATTTGTTTCTGTGGAATAGATTCCAATGAGTGAGATTTCCAGTTCAAAGAATGTTTTAAAAGTATAGAGCCATGTCCATGTCTTTCCCCTAAAAGTCGGTGATAATGCACCTTTCCAGCCAT